TTCGATCTGCGTGTAAAGACGTTCTCCCTCCCCATCAAATTAATTCAATTATTTACAAATACGTTTGTAGTTGCAGAGCCGACTACATAGGGAGAACAACTCAACGCTTAGACATGAGAATAAAACAACACGTTCCTACAAAAATTAGAAATCACATCCTGCCTTTGAATGGACTCGTCCCGAACACCTACAGTTCCGCCATATGCGAACATCTTTTAAATAGCAGAGATTGTGCAGCCAAATTTAGTGTTGACCCGGTATCACTCTTTATTTCATCTGAAGGTTCTGGAGGCACTTTACATCGGGTCCCGCAAGCCTTCTTTGTGCAAACAACGTGAGTGCTTGTTGGGACTCACTGTCATCTGTCTCTAGTTCCTTCTGCATATATATTGTTATATATATATATATATATATATATATATATATATATATATATATATACGTAATTCCCCCACCAATTCCTAGAATCCAGGTAGACATGACAGAGTAAGAATATAATATAAAAGGCTCAAACACTAATATTCCCTGATTATAATTTATTATATTGGAATCGTAATCACGATCAAATTCATCAGACCTACAAATACAATAAGATTCGATTCCAATGTAATAAATTGTAACAATGGAATAGTGTTTGAGCCTTTTATAATATACATATATATATATATAGATGTATATATATAATTTATATATATAAATATATATATATATAATTTATATATATATATATATATATATATATATATATGTATATAATTTATATTTTGAACAATAAAAAAATATTAAAAAATTAAAATCTTCAGACACACTGGGTTGTAGAATAATATTCTTTCGTTTTTATTATTATTATTATTTCATTTAGATTCCTCGACTAGTTTCGGCCCCAAAATGGCCATCATCGGGAGGAGAAATATTTCTGCTTGCTGGTAGCAGTAAACTACAGAAATGAATGTCTTGATGGAGAAAATGAACTTTTGTCTGTAGTTTTCATTTGTTTTTTTTTATTTTTTATCTTTTTAACATGAATCTTTTAACATTCCTTGTGTTGGTCAAACAGTCTCTTTTAAGTTGTTATTTGAGATAAGAGCTGGATGGGTCTATGCTGCTCTGAATTCCCGTGGTCATTTTAACAGTTTTATTGTCCTGGAGAGGGTATGTGTCTCTGTTTAGTGTTTGTGTGTGTGTTATTTGGTTCTTAAGGAGTGAGTGAATATATATAATTTATATATATATATATATATATATATATATATATATATATATATCCCAGTGGGTAAATATAGGTACGTATACGAATAGAGTTACCCTCCTTGATTTCCCAACGCCTCTTTTTTCTTTATTTACGTTTTCAACACAAGCATCTCTACTTTAGAATTTATATTTCTTAAATGTTAATCTTAAATTCAAATTCAAAATTAAACTACAATTCATTTAAATATTTTAACTCCAATAATATTCCATTCCACCAATGATATATCTCGTGTGAACCAGAAAATGAAAAAAAACTAAAAAAAAAAAACTCAAAAATTGAGTTAAAATAAGCTCTGTTCCATCTTCATGCGAAATTTTTTTGGGAATAACGTGTTTCTGAAATTTACGTGTTTTAAAAATTGAAATCAAAATTTCCATGGTAACAGCTAGGGCGAATTGTTTAAGTTGGGTAGGCGGGTGTTGGGTGTTAATAATAAGTATCAGTATAGAGTTACTTTCGTAGATGTCAAGTCAGGGAAAAGTGGGGGTGTCTAAATTTGAAACGGAAGATGTATTAGCCCTCGTCTAGTTTGCATGTTACTGGAGATTTATTTATTTTTTTATTTTATTTTTTTATGAAAGGGATTTGTGCATATAAAAAAAACAAACAAAAAAAACTGCCGTAACGTTTGTTTTTTGGCGACTTCATAAAGGGTTATCTTTTTTTGGGGTATTTAAACTATTTATTTCGGCTATGGATTATGAAGGGTGTTATATTGTATACATGTTTTTAGTTAATTATTCAAACCATGAATCTGATGAGTGGGCTATGTATTAAACAAGTTATTATATTGTATGCTAGTTTTTTAGCTAATAGTTCAAACCAAAAATATATATATATGAATAATATATATATATATGAAAATATATGAATATATATATATATATGAATATATATATATATGAATATATATATATATATATGAATCTGATGAGTGGGCTATGGATTAAACAAGTCATTATATTGTATGCTAGTTTTTTTAGCTAATAGTTCAAACTAAAAATATATATATATATATATATATATATATATATATATATATATATATATATATATATACACGGGCCTATAACAGACCGTTAACTCAGGTATAAATGATGGGAATTATAAAATTATGAATGAAAATACAAAAAGAACTCGCAAGTGATGGAAAGAATTACCGTTCGCATAGCCGTATGTAAAAAATCCTATCTGCCTGTTCACGATATGAATATCCTGACATTGTTAAACGGAACACTTCTCAGTTAATTCACTACTACACATGTTAAACGTTGAAGACAGATAAATCGCAAATGTATACGAATGACAAATGTTACCTAGTCCTCATGACATCACAGCGCCATCTACTGAAACTTTCTTTAAACTTTATAACTCAAACACGAAGGATTTCCGGACATATGTTTTTCTTGACTTTTGAGCATGTTTTGGTGTGCGGAACCAGACCCCCAAATTTGTAAAAGTATTTTAGATACACCCTATATATATATATATATATATAGATAGATAGATAGATAGAGAGAGAAAGAGATAATACCGTTTTGTGTTATCGACCTATATACTTGTCAGGTATATAGGTAGATTACACAGAACGTGGGATAGACGAGAAAAGAGACGGCTCCACGAGTAACCTTGTTTAGGAACGGAATGACATGTCTGATTATATCAAAATAAATTTGAAAACAAACCACACATTGCTTTGCTAACTAACACATTCATGCCATCGCTCTTTTCTTAGAAATGGGAATTTTCTCTGACTTGTGAATCTAAAGATACTGGTTCTTAAAGAAAATTCGTTTCTTTCATTCTGAAAATGGTGTAAAATTCTCCCAGGGTTAATTAATAAGAATCTTTACAGTTTTGGTTAACAAAGGTAACCAAAAACAAAATTCTAAGAAATTGCGTTTATAAAATTCTGTTATTCGCATTGAAAAGACCTTGAAAGCAGATGGCGTAGGAAAATCTCTCTACGACTGCAAGTGGTACCATGTATACGACTACTGTCTGCCGCTTGACCGGCTCATCGGCGACTAACCCCGACCACTTAACATATTCTTTAGGTGAGGATTTTGCCTGAACACCCAACAAGATTAAAAATAAGACCCGTCAAAGGATGGCTGAACATTCCTGGGGGGTAGGGATTTTCAACCGTCTCACCCTAGTGTGCCGCGTGATCTTTTTAAGTGTGGCGCAAAAGTGTGATTTAGATTCGAAATCCCTTCATAAATGTTCCTTCCATGATTAGACTTCAGTTATGTGAAGAAGAAGAATTGGCCACCATTTTTAGGGATCGAGGGCTCAAACTAAAACATTCGATGGTACCTTTTGATAGATTTTGGATTTCAATACAAAAGGAATATCCCTCATTAGCTAAAAAAGGCTTTATCAGTTTTATTAAAATTTTCTACTTCATTTTTAAAAAGTCATTTAAAACTTTAGGTATCGAAAATTTATGCCGAAAAAGTATAGGTACCTCGATTTATCAGTTTTATTGCAATTTTCTGCTTTTTATTTATGTGAATTAGGCTTCTCAACCATAAATAACATCAAAAATAAGAAGCGAGAAAGACTATTGTCTGCTGAAAAGAAATGATGGTCCGCTTATCGCACATTCGACTAAACATTGAAGAAATCGAGAAAAAACACCAGGCACAGGTTTCACACTAAATAAGCTGCAAAAATAGTTGAATAGAAACATTGAAATAAACTAAGTTCATATCTGCGTGTGTCTTTTTTAAAAATCTATGTTTTCATTTCATAACAATTAAATGTGTTCCATTTAAACATTTTGCTAAGTGTGCCGTGATATTTTCATTTGCTCCGATGTGTGTCGTTGCATAAAAACGTTGAGAAATACAGCTGTATGGTGTAGGGTGTATTACATTACGTTGTAAATACATATTAGGGTCAGATTTTTTAAATTGTTGTTTTTATTCTCTTCCCCACAGAGACAAAAATTGTACATATTGAGACGAGTTAGGATTTCATAGAGACACTGAGGTATTATGGTGGCTGTAGTAAGAATGATAAGTAAGAATGCGTTGTTTTGGTGTAAGGAATATGTTTGGCAATATCGTACTATTTATTTATTTAAGTTTAAGATAAGAGATATTGAAGATCTGCTTATCACCCCTTTTGGCTTTGCGCCACATTGTTGTATTAAAACAAAATAAATATTGCTTTTATCTTTGGTACCCCCCCCTAATGATAAATTGTACATAAGATGACTAGTTAGGACTTCATAGAGACTCTGGGGTATTATGGTGGCTGTAGTAAGAATGGTAAGTAAGAATATGTTGTTTTGGCTTAAGGAATACTGTGGAATGTTTGGGTCAGTAATTGTGGCTAGCTAAGTTTAAGATAAAACATTGAAGACCAGCCTTCCCCTATCCCCACTCTTGGCCTTGTGCCACAATTTTGTATTTTTACAAAATAAATATTACTTTCCTGTAGAGTGTACAGCCATCTATCTCGTTCAAAATCTTCATGCCTTTCCACATATTTCTTGGCTTTGTGTCAGTTGCTCTTCTTTGCCTTCCTCTTGAAATGGAACCCTCTTCGCTAACAACCGAGCTGAGACGTTTCAATTAATTCATTCCTTTAAGTTCTTAACCGCTGAATTCTTACTTGAAATTCCACTCTCATTGTTTGTACGCTCACTAAAGTTAAGCGTGGTCAAGCCTGGTCAGTAGCTGGATGGGTGACCGCTTGGGAATACCTGGTGCTGGTGGTGCGGATGGTTTAATATATAACGGCCATATCACGTTGAAATACCACTTTTCGTACGATCACCGAAGTTAAGCAATGTCGAGCCTCGTCTGTACCTAGATGGGTGACCCCATTGGGAATATGAGCTCTTGTAAGCTTGGATGTGCAGATGGTGTAATCTATAAGATTGTTGACCCCTTGGGATTAACAGGTGCTGTTTACTTGGATGTGCGGGTGGTGTAATCACTACCAGTATACGTTAAAGTGGAAATAACGCTTCTCGTGCGATCACCGAAGTTAAGCAATGTTGTACTTGATCAATACTTAGATGGGTGACCGCTTGAGAATACTATGGGTTGTTGCCTTCCACTTGGTTTAGTTATATTACGCGCAAATACCCCCGAGAAAGTTATGAATTCACATCTCCTTCCCCAGCTATGGGTTAATTAGTAAACTTTGTATAACTAAAAACATTATCATCCCAAAATATGCGTACAAAATATTTAAATTTAAGCATTAAATAACCCATAGAGATGTTGATATGCCGCTAAACAAAATCAACCTTGGAACCGATCTGATTGGCTGTCGTGAGTTTGTTTTGTCGACATTAATCTCCGTGCCATATCGGGACGAGGTTTCAATCAGGTTTTTCTTTTCGCCATAATGGAAGGAGGCTGTCTACGTAGGAGATGCCTAGAATGGTTGTGTAACATCTCATTTCTCATGCTTGGATTCTGCTCTTAATGTCCAAGACTCACAGGCGTATAAGAAAGACGGAGAAGGTCGATGCGCACAACGGCCTGGTCTTTGATTCCTGGTTTTCATTTTGGCGACAGCTGCCATTGTTTTTGCTGCTCTTGAAATGACTTCTGTATTCTGGAGGAAATTTTCCCCTGCCCCTTCCAATGCGTTTGCTTCTTGCCCGATGGAATCCATTTTGAAGTGGTTTACGAAGGGGATGCCGAATATTGTTCTGTGGCGCCACATATTTTAAAGTTTGGGCTCTTCGGCGCAATTCTACTGTTAATATCTAAGATTTGCAAGCGCATACAAAGACAGAGAAGGCCGATGCACGCAACTGTTTGATATTTGATTTCTTACATTTGGGTAGAGAAGAGATGCATTACTGGTTTGCAAATTTCTCGTTCCAAATTTTACTTGTTCTATCTAATAAAAATATGAAAATACACCTTTTTATTTTCATATTCATTTAGACTGTCATTGGCCGTCTGAAACCGGGCGATAGTACTGAATAATATATATATGGTACGTCCAAAGAAACACGATACTTACGGTTTAAAATGAATGTAAAATCTTGAAGTTTTTATTTTAGCTTGAATTCCAAGCTAATAAATTAAATTTAATATTTCCGATAAGTAAAATATTTTCGCTGTATTTCGAAACTAATTTAAATTGACTGGAAGAATTTTTTTTAATCACTGATTTGAGCGCTATTTTTATCCATTTGTTATCACAGTGTAAATCTCTTTATTAAAAAAAATCTTTCAAAAATAAATATTTTGCTGAAACAAGTTTATTTTAAGTTTAATTATTCTAATTTGAAATAAATATTACATACTTCTAGTTTAAAATAACACTGAAATGCATTTTTTAACACTGAGTTAAGTGTTTATTTAAGGTATTGACAGCTTCACTGACAGCCGGAAGTTTATGTAAGTTTTTTCTTAGCAATGGTTTCAAAAAATTCTGTTAGAAAATACAAGAATTCTATATAAATCACATTATAAGAATCATCTTGCTATTCATAAGGCCTTATATATCGAACAATCTACAATCAACTTTATATTATTTAATAGAGGAAATGGAGTTTTGAAAATTTAAAAAAAATAAAAATAGAAAGATTTTCACTCGAATTCCAGGTCGCGCGCGGCATGTGAGAGCTTGGAATGAACGCGCCATTTTCAAAAAACAACACAAACATACTTTACAACCTAACAGTCAAAATGCAGAAAAAATAACAAAACCAGAGACAAAATAGCATTGAAAATGACGATAGAAGTGGCCGAAAACACTTGGGACAATAAAAATTATGGACAATTTTTTATTCCCTAAGTTCAACATGCCGGAAAAATGTTAGGATGCTGGAAAAACTTAATATAAAATTAATTCAATATTCCTTGTCGGCCGTATTCAATGAAAGATGTTTGAAGCAAAGGTTGCTGCAAAATATACAATATATATGTTACAGTGATGTTCACCTTTTTCAATGGCCGAGATTCTGTCGAGGCAGAATGTACAGTTTATGTCAATATGTGAATTTTATTTTGGTTTATAAAAACTTGTTGCAAAATAAAATCCTTACATTTGCTTTGATAAAGCCCATGAAAAGATGAAACGCGCCGACTAAGATAAGTTTTCCTTTCGTCTTTATTCACACACACACACACACACACACACATATATATATATGTCTGTGTGTGTATGTGTAAAAGAGAGAGATAGATAGATAGATAGATAGAGAGAGAGAGAGAGAGAGAGAGAGAGAGAGAAAATCAAGACCGAATTTAATTGTTTAAGATTTACATTGAGAAAAAAAGAAGCCTAAATGCAGACCACAAAGTAAACGCTGCGAATCTTCTCCCTTCATCGATTGGATAATTGACTTGTATCGCTAGATCCGGTTCATAAGGACAATGAAATATCTAAACAAATTCCATATTTACTCACCTGTTTCTGCTTAATTTCTGCGCATGCGTAAGGTGATGCGCATGTGATGTAATGGTTAGCGGTTCAGATCAAGAAATAAGCAATTCGAGTTCGAATCCCAACCGAGTTCATTACGTTCCCTTAAGTGTAAATGCCTTTCGGTGAGAAGCTTTTTTTACTTTGGCATCCATTCACTTAATGTCAGTTATGGTCCAATTAACGATGTTGAAACTGTATTACACAACAGGTACAGCCAAAGTGTTTATGGCTGATATTCTCTTCTTTATTATTATTATTATTATTATTATTATTATTATTATTTCCTTTGATTTCTAGTGTCTACACATTTCTTTCCGAGTCCCGACCAGAGATCTAAGGTTAGAAATGACATCATGACATTTTCCACTGACCAATTAACAAAAATATAAAAACCTTTTTTTGTTTGCGATCTCTAATAACAATGTTTAGGCGGTTAGCTTTGATTGTTCTGTGTGTATTGTGTAGTCCCATAAAATTGTAACAGGTCCTATCTTCGTAACCGGGTCTGGATGGTGTTCATACCAATTTCTTTCAGTTACTTTCGCATAGAAGTTGTAGATTTTCCAGTGCAGATATCGGCCCAATTTGTCATGCCGGGTTTTATATTCAGTGGGTGCCAATATCGTGCAATCTGATACAAGATGATCAATAGTTTCTGGATATTTATCACAAAATCTGCATTTTGGGCTAGCACAATATTTTAGTATGTGTGCTTGATAATTTCTATTTAACAAGCACGGATCCTGTGCAGCAAGGATAAAACCTTCGGATTCAGCTTTTAACCCTGCACTACATGGCCACTGGTGGGTACGGGGTTTGTCTACGTCAGCTTCTTTGGTACGGGCAGAGTATTAGCCATGAAGAGGTTTATCTTGCCATTATTTCTGTATCTGGTCGGTTGAAATAGTTTTTCCTTTCTTCTTTATGTATTTTGCAGCTTCATCCGATGTATTGGGCTTTGCTTGTATTTCTGCAACCATTTTGAACTTGTTGGCTTCTTTTATTACGGAATAGAGACGCTTACTACTTTATGTTCTTTAACACATATCATCATCCTGTTTTCTGTAGTTTCCAGGTATCTTTGGAGACCAATTGTTGTAGTTTTGTAGGACAGATCTAGTTGAACTAATCCTCTTCATCCTTCGGATCTGGGCACATACAGACGATCAACATTAACTTTGGGATGATGCATGCGGTAGCAAGTGAGAAGCTTTCTCGTTCTGGCGTCCATTCGCTTAATGTCAGCTATGATCCAATCCAGGATGTTAAAGCTGTATTGCACCACGGAACAGACAAGTTGTTTATGGCTGTTATTCTGTTTTTTGAGTTCAGCTCAGTATTTAGTACCAGACGCACACACCTGTAGTACTCCTTTCTTACCTTCTCCTTCATTTGGGTATGTTGTATACCATCTCCTTCGCTAATTCCTAGGTAACTATAGGCCCCGTCTTGTTCCAGTTCCTTAATCTTTGTGACAAAGTCTAAATTTATTGAGGTTGTTTCTATAATTCTCCTTTTCTTGAATGTTACTTTTGCACATTTATCTAATCCGGAGTCCATACCTATGTCGTCACTGAAATATTTTACAATATTGAGGAGGTCCTTCAACTCATTGCCGTTTTTGGTAAAGAGTTTGAGATCATCTATGTAGAGTAGGTGACTGAATAATGTTTTGTCTATTTTGTAACCATAGCTGCTGTTGTTTAATTCATGCGTAAGGGAGATTGAGGACAAACAGAACAGAAGGGGTGAGAGGGCGTCTCCTTGAAAGATTCCGCGTCGGATATTCAGACGGTTGGAGATGGCAGTGCCTATGGCGTGATTAGGTTTAGTGTGGTGTTCAGCATCCCCGTACTGTACTTAAGGAAATTTACTACCTCAGGGGAAACTTTGTGTCAGTTGTATGCTCCGGCCTTCTTCAGGTGGTTGGAATGTCGAACTGAACCCTTTATTACGCTCACTGTTCTAGAAGAAGGCCGGAGAGTACAACGGCCGAAACGCTGTAATAAATATGTCGACAAAGATGAAGACAATAGTCAGAATAATGTAAATAGTGTACATAACACCTCATCTCAGAAATATAGACAGATACTGAAGGGCCGAAACGTTGTAATAAATATGGCGACAAAGATGAGGACAATAGTCCGAATAATGTAAATAGTGTACATAATACCTCATCTCAGAAATATAGACAGATACTAAATTAAAGGTAATGAGAAAAGGAAAAATAACATAATTAGTAAAAAAAAAAAAAATGAAAATGAGAGAATTAAAAGTTAAGTAAAGTCAAAGAGACTTAGAATAAAATCAAAGAAAATGAAAAATTATCATTTAAAAATTGTATAAAATTGACGATTCCTTATATTGTGAGAGAATCGGACAAGCGCCTTTCCAATGTTTAACCTTCCGAAGCTAATGAGTGATACTTATCTAGTTTTATAAGGTAGACCATCAACCCTGCTACATTTTGGTGGAAAAGTTATCAAAGAGTTCATTAGACAATGCGGTAGAGATAAGGAAAAAAAAAAGAAAAAAAAGAAAAAAAAAAAGGGAGATAAATACATTTCGGGTCATTTCCCAACCTGCTAGCCACTAAAAGATAAATTTTAAGATTTCACCCAAAAAGCAGAACATTGCTAAGTTAGTACCCCTGTAGCG